ATTTTTAGGAAATATAGGCAATTTTAATAAAGAACCATTATCTAATTATTCAGTTACTATTAAAATTATTATTAACACCAAATAATCAATGTATGGCCGTCCCTGTGATCTATTTTATAATTGACTGATTTGGAACCTCATTATTAGAGGTTTGGGTAGTTAGGAAACAGGAAAGGAAACATATCATGATGACTAAAGAGGAGCAGGCTGAGATTGATCCTCTAATTAATTATGAAAAACAAATATTTCCATGTTCAATATGTCAGCGTTATACCACCAATGGATGGAATAATTCAACAAAGAATCACACATATACAAATGAAAATATAAACAAATAAAAAGTAAACAGAAAAAAAACTATGATGTGGAACAGCTGCGATTGATTATCTGCCTAACTAAATTTATAGAAAATATGGAAGATCAGTATGTCAGCTTTGTTCCACAAACATAAAAAGAAATCTTTGGAAAGGCGAAGTATCACCTCAATTGGAAACGAAACATATCCAGAAGACTCGAGTGGAATAGGCGTCGATTGATCTCTTTAATTAATAACAACAAATATATCTGCGATTAATACGTCTGCGTTGTTCCACAAACACACTGACAGGCAAAAAATTCCACCCACTTGATTTTTTCACGTTTTCATCTAAAAATATTTCTGATTTGGATTGGTCTATTGTTTTTTATGAATAAATAGGTAATTTTTTGTTTGTTTTCAATTAGGAATGTTAATATAGAGGACAATAACCCTTAATCCTTAATTCAATAAAATGATTCTAGATTTCAATGTTTACTTTCTATGGAATCAAAATGTTTATTCAGTATCATTAGTTCAGTGCCGTTTCTTGCAGTACATTTCTTAGTCTCCGACTTTTAATTTTTTCAATATTAAGTTTAAAAATGCCTCTTAGTGCTGAGAATGTTGAACGTAGTGTGGCACTTATTGATGATGGACGTTCCATTAGATATGCAGCTAATGCCATCGGAGTTTCATATGGAACTTTACGAGACGCCGTGAGGCGTTTTCGTGAAACTAATTCTTACAATAGAAGGCCCGGTTCTGGACAGCCTAGGGTAATAGAACCACGGGATGACCGGTTTTTGACTTTGAGAATTTTATGAAACCGGCACCTTACCGTTGTTCAAGCGATTCATCAGCTCGAAGAAGTTATGGTGTGCAAATTACTGAACGTACCGCTCGGAGAAGATTAAATGAGTATGGATTAATGGCTTTTCGTTCATTAGGAGGACCAGAGTTAACCAGAACTCACAGAGTAACACGGCTGGCTTTTGCTCGAGAACACAGCCATTAGACTATGGACGAATGGAGTGCTGTACTTATTACAGATGAGTCAAGATCCGCTCTTCGATCTCCAGACGGGCGTGAAAGGGTGTGGAGAAGAAGAAACGAAATATGTGCAGCCTGTAATTTTTCCCAGAGCCAACCTTTCCAAAGTGGTTCCTTAATGAAGTGGGCTGGGATTTCAATGGAGCGCCGCACAGAATTGGTTGTTGTTCGTGGAGGGTCTTTGACGGCAATTCGTTATGTAGATGAGATTTTGGAACCTCATGTGTTGCCTATCCTCAACGAAATCGACGATCGTTCTATTCTAATGCACGATAATTCACGCCCACATGTCGCCCGCATAGTGCAGACGTTCCATGAACAGAACAATATTGAGGTTTTAGCCTGGCTAGCACGTTCTCCAGATTTGAACCCCATTTAGCATTTATGGGGTAATCTCGGAAGACGAATAAGAGCGCGTGCAACACTTTCTGATACACTGCAGGACCTTGAAAGGGCTCTTCGTTAGAAATGGGCTATCCTCCAACAAAGGGACATTTCCCGACAGGTGGAAAGTATGCCGAGGCGTCTTCAAGAAGTAGTGAAGGCAAGAGGAGGAAACACGCGCTACTAAACAATGATGTAATTAATTTCTTTTAGAATAATAATGGTTCGTTTTCTGCTATCAATAAGTCAGCGTTGTTCCACCAACATAGAATGAAATGTTTGGAATAGCAAAAAGTGACAGCACATGGGCAGGAAACAAATCCCGATGTCTAGAGTGGAGCAGGCTGCGATTGATTATCGGACAGTACAAATTAACATAAGGTATAGGAGATCAGTATGAAAACGTTGTTCCACCAACATGGTATGAAATCTATGGAATAGCTATGTATTACCTGAAAATACATCCTGAAAACTAGAGTTGAGCAGGCTGCGATTAATCTCCTACTTAATCGATAACAACAAATATCCCCTTGATGAATAAGTCAGCTTTGATCCACCAACATAGAATGGAATGTTTGGTATAGCACAAAATCACAGCAAATACAAAGTAAAAACCTCCTGATCACTAGAGTTGAGCAGACTGCGATTGATCATCTGGTGATCCAAATTATCGGAAGACATAGGAGATCAATATGACAGCTTTGTTCCACCAACATAGAAACGAATCTTTGAAAGTGCAAAGTATTACCTCAATTCCTAAAGAGACACGTCCAGACGATTCGAGTGGAGAAGGCTGCGATTGATCTCCTATTTAATTAATAACAACAAACATATCCGCGATGAATTAGTCAGCGTTGTTCCACAATTATAGAATGAAAAGTTTGGAATAGCAAAAAGTGACAGCGCATGGAAAAGAAACACCCTGATGACTAGAGTAGAGCAGGCTGCGATTGATCATCTGGTGATCCAAATTATTGGAGGATATAGGAGATCAATATGACAGGTTTGTTCCACCAACATAGAAACGAATCTTTGAAAGTGTAAAGTATTACCTCAATTCCTAAAGAGACACGTCCAGAAGATTCGAGTGGAGAAGGCTGCGATTGATCTCCTATTTAATTAATAACAACAAATATATCCGCGATCAATTAGTCAGAGATGTTCCACAATCATAGAATGAAAAGTTTGGAATAGCAAAAAGTGACAGCACATGGAAATAAAAGACATCCTGATGACTAAAGTGGAGCAGGCTGCGATTGATTCTACAATTCATTATAATAATAATAAAAGGCTTAGCGAACCCGAAGGTTCGATGCCGACACCACCAATCGCATATTACACACCTCCCTCCATCGTTCGCAGTCCAAACCCAGTCCCTTCAGATCGGCTTTAATGCAATCTTCCCACCTTCGCTTCGGTCTACCCCTCGGACGCTTACCATTCGGCACAGCAAATATTAACCTTTTAGGAATTCTCTCGTTAATAAGCCCAACAACTTTACAAGCCCATTTGATTCGCCGCGATGAAATTACCTCAATTATATTACCCGGATACAGTTCACGAAATTCGGCATTGTGTAACCTTCTGAACTCTCCGGTTAACTCATCCTTCTTCGGTCCGAATATTCTACGCAATACTTTGTACTTTAAGGATTAAGAAACCTTTATGCTTACAAACAAACTGTATCTAAATATAAAGGATGAAGAGAATAATAAAGTTAGTTGCTCTTGAACCTGCGTACCGTTATTCTGCCCGAAACCCCCCCCTTTTTTTCGTTCATTCTCTCAGTCTAATCATAAGTGGTGCCGAAACCCGGGAGGAATTCCGAATTTCTATCGCGCGGCTAATAGTATCATGAAGTTCCGAAAAATCACCAGGCGAACCCAGGCAAGCTTCTAATCAGTTACGGATAACAATTACGATGGAAGAAGAATTGATGAAACTGGATTACCAACTTGCTCAATCTACGGTGGAGAGACAGAAATTGGAAGCGGAGCGTCAGAAACTAGAAACACAGCAATAGAAAGCGACCGAAAACACACAGATCGAGTTACTTAAGATAAGGACGCAGAACTCGGCATTTATCCACGAGGCAATTAGCCAGCTAGAACCATTTACGGGAGTTGTAGGTGACCTCGAGCATTTCATCAAAGGTGGTGACCAAATTAAAACTTGATAACCACCAGACAGGAGACAGACACGCTACTGGAATCCGACGTAAAATACTGGCGGCCTCTTTGATTGGTAGTATCTCGCGTCGGGATTTAACACTCGGGTACAGGGCGATTTGACGGCCTCCTGGGAGACGCTGAAGATACATCACAAGAAGCTATACGGCGGTGGCAGGTGGACCCCGGAAGAGGATGTTTTCTATTTGTTTAAAGAGCGCAGAGCCCAGGGCCAATCGGAGGGTGAGTTCGCTGAAAAGCTATTGTTGTTATACAATAGACTGACGGAGAAGATGGTGGAAACATGCCAGGCGGAAGGAGCCCAGAAGATGGAGTTTCTAAGGGGAGTGCTAAAGGTGCAACTAAATCATTATTTGGACCGTCCAGGATCGCTGCCCAGAGACCGCAATTTTATCGAATGCGCCCACGACCTGGTCGATACAAGGGAGCAGAACGAAACCCGCTTCGAAAAACCGGAAGCGGAATGGACGGAAGTGAGATCACCGAGGAGGCGGCAACGCAGTCTTACCAGGAGGAATAACCCTAACGGAGGCTTGGAAAAGCGGCCAAGCAAAGGCTAGGAGGACAGGAGACGGAAACCTGGGCGCCGTTGCTACGAGTGCAATCGAACGGGTCACGTAGCGGCCCAATGTAAGCTCACGAGGTGCTAAGAGTGCGGCAGGCAGGGGCACGTTGCGAAAGATCGCCCAAGGCACCACCCCCGACCGCACACAAGGGATTGGCTTATTCAATATCTAGATTGGGGTTTTGCCACACTGTCGTGGTATGCCACTCGTCTTGTATACTTTACGTCTTCAAATATTTTACGGTAACAAATCACAATCAACTAGGAATAGATAGGTTTATTTACGAATATGCCATGAACTTTGGGCTTCAACTGTGCTTTGATGCTAGGCAAAGACGCACCCCGGATTCGACCAGCCTACTACTAAAAATCGGTAAAAGTCTTCTAAAAATCAATTTTTAATAAAATGATTAACAAGATATTAATAGAAGAGCTACATGGTGGAATATCACATATTCGAATAAAAAATAGAGAGGGGGTTCAGTTCGTTGATAGACAGTCCTAGGAACGGCATCTACGTCTTGAAGAGGGATGATTCCGCGTAGAAGACACTGACTTCGCGTTGTTTTGGGACCCTACAAAGGGAGCGGGTAGAAGAGCTCTCGTGTGCAGTCGCCATCAGGATCGAGGATAATCTCCATGGACGGCCTAATGTTAGCCACCAAAATTTCGTCAACTGCGGTCCGCAGGGATCGAACCAGCTCCACACCTCGTAAAACTCCGCTCTACTCATTTCGGTTCCGTTGGAGACATATCTAATCTATGAGATAATTTCTATGCAGTTCATTGTCAAGTTACACCGTACAAGCTGAATTAGATTGTTAGTAATTAGATTAGAAAAGATAATTAATTCATAATCGCGCTAAAATGAAATTTAAAATTATTCAATGCGGCTATTGAACCATTACAAATGCAGTGTACTATTTAATTTTACTCGACAGAAAATTTTAATTTATTTCTAATTATCTGATATCACTCTACTCGTCATTTAGCTTTCTTAGACTGCTATTGTGATTTAACTTTTACCATTGAATATTATTCCTATTTTCCCGCAAGGGCTAGCTTTGAGCAAAGCTAGTGGGGATTAACGCTCCCCCGGGTTCCCCAGTTCCCCGTGCCTAACAACAACGCTCGAAAGCGTGCACGGTTAACACATACTAACTTACAGATCCTCAGAAAATTCTCGCTACGGTCTTCAAGACTGTTGTATCGGTAGATTATGTTATTTTTTAAATCTCAGCTAACCAGCGACCGATGAGGAAGGCAGGAAGAAGGATATTTGAAGAAACAAATAACAATGAGATAGTCGTGACTAACGGAGGCGCGAATGATAATTACATAATTTATTGACCAGTGTTGTGATTCCCATGAAGATGAAACCAATTGTAGGGATTAATTTTTGTCTAAAATTCATAGGCATAAACTGGGCAGTACATGGAGATCATCTTCGGTCTCGATGGCAACCGCACACAGGAGGTCTTCTCCTGCTCTCCTTGTAGGGTCCGGAGCAAGGTGAAGTCAGCTTCTTCTTCGCGGAGTCCTTTCTCAATTAGGCGTTTCTGCAATTCTTAAAGGTCAGAGTAGATTGGGGTTTTGCCACACTGTCGTGGTATGCCACTCGTCTTGTATACTTTGCGTCTTCAAATATTTTACGGTAACAAATCACAATCAACTAGGAATAGATAGGTATATTTACGAATATGCCATGAACTTATGGCTTCAACTATGCTTTGATGCTAGGCAAAGACGCACCCCGGATTCGACCAGCCTACTAGTAAAAATCGGTAAAAGTCTTCTAAAAATCAATTTTTAATAAAATGATTAACAAGATATTAATAGAAGAGCTACATGGTGGAATATCACATATTCGAATAAAAAATAGAGAGGGGGTTCAGTTCGTTGATAGACAGTCCTAGGAACGGCATCTACGTCTTGAAGAGGGATGATTCCGCGTAGAAGACACTGACTTCGCGTTGTTTTAGGACCCTACAAAGGGAGCGGGTAGAAGAGCTCTCGTGTGCAGTCGCCATCAGGATCGAGGATAATCTCCATGGACGGCCTAATGTTAGCCACCAAAATTTCGTCAACTGCGGTCCGCAGGGATCGAACCAGCTCCACACCTCGTAAAACTCCGCTCTACTCATTTCGGTTCCGTTGGAGACATATCTAATCTATGAGATAATTTCTATGCAGTTCCTTGTCAAGTTACACCGTACAAGCTGAATTAGATTGTTAGTAATTAGATTAGAAAACATAATTAATTCATAATCGCGCTAAAATGAAATTTAAAATTATTCAATGCGGCTATTGAACCATTACAAATGCAGTGTACTATTTAATTTTACTCGACAGAAAATTTTAATTTATTTCTAATTATCTGATATCACTCTACTCGTCATTTAGCTTTCTTAGACTGCTATTGTGATTTAACTTTTACCATTGAATATTATTCCTATTTTCCCGCAAGGGCTAGCTTTGAGCAAAGCTAGTGGGGATTAACGCTCCCCGGGTTCCCCAGTTCCCCGTGCCTAACAACAACGCTCGAAAGCGTGCACGGTTAACACATACTAACTTACAGATCCTCAGAAAATTCTCGTCTTGAAGAGGGATGATTCCACGTAGAAGACACTGACTTCGCGTTGTTTTAGGACCCTAAAAAGGGAGCGGGTAGAAGAGCTCTCGTGTGCAGTCGCCATCAGGATCGAGGATAATCTCCATGGACGGCCTAATGTTAGCCACCAAAATTTCGTCAACTGCGGTCCGCAGGGATCGAACCAGCTCCACACCTCGTAAAACTCCGCTCTACTCATTTGGGTTCCGTTGGAGACATATCTAATCTATGAGATAATTTCTATGCAGTTCCTTGTCAAGTTACACCGTACAAGCTGAATTAGATTGTTAGTAATTAGATTAGAAAACATAATTAATTCATAATCGCGCTAAAATGAAATTTAAAATTATTCAATGCGGCTATTGAACCATTACAAATGCAGTGTACTATTTAATTTTACTCGACAGAAAATTTTAATTTATTTCTAATTATCTGATATCACTCTACTCGTCATTTAGCTTTCTTAGACTGCTATTGTGATTTAACTTTTACCATTGAATATTATTCCTATTTTCCCGCAAGGGCTAGCTTTGAGCAAAGCTAGTGGGGATTAACGCTCCCCGGGTTCCCCAGTTCCCCGTGCCTAACAACAACGCTCGAAAGCGTGCACGGTTAACACATACTAACTTACAGATCCTCAGAAAATTCTCGTCTTGAAGAGGGATGATTCCACGTAGAAGACACTGACTTCGCGTTGTTTTAGGACCCTAAAAAGGGAGCGGGTAGAAGAGCTCTCGTGTGCAGTCGCCATCAGGATCGAGGATAATCTCCATGGACGGCCTAATGTTAGCCACCAAAATTTCGTCAACTGCGGTCCGCAGGGATCGAACCAGCTCCACACCTCGTAAAACTCCGCTCTACTCATTTGGGTTCCGTTGGAGACATATCTAATCTATGAGATAATTTCTATGCAGTTCCTTGTCAAGTTACACCGTACAAGCTGAATTAGATTGTTAGTAATTAGATTAGAAAACATAATTAATTCATAATCGCGCTAAAATGAAATTTAAAATTATTCAATGCGGCTATTGAACCATTACAAATGCAGTGTACTATTTAATTTTACTCGACAGAAAATTTTAATTTATTTCTAATTATCTGATATCACTCTACTCGTCATTTAGCTTTCTTAGACTGCTATTGTGATTTAACTTTTACCATTGAATATTATTCCTATTTTCCCGCAAGGGCTAGCTTTGAGCAAAGCTAGTGGGGATTAACGCTCCCCCGGGTTCCCCAGTTCCCCGTGCCTAACAACAACGCTCGAAAGCGTGCACGGTTAACACATACTAACTTACAGATCCTCAGAAAATTCTCGCTACGGTCTTCAAGACTGTTGTATCGGTAGATTATGTTATTTTTTAAATCTCAGCTAACCAGCGACCGATGAGGAAGGCAGGAAGAAGGATATTTGAAGAAACAAATAACAATGAGATAGTCGTGACTAACGGAGGCGCGAATGATAATTACATAATTTATTGACCAGTGTTGTGATTCCCATGAAGATGAAACCAATTGTAGGGATTAATTTTTGTCTAAAATTCATAGGCATAAACTGGGCAGTACATGGAGATCATCTTCGGTCTCGATGGCAACCGCACACAGGAGGTCTTCTCCTGCTCTCCTTGTAGGGTCCGGAGCAAGGTGAAGTCAGCTTCTTCTTCGCGGAGTCCTTTCTCAATTAGGCGTTTCTGCAATTCTTAAAGGTCATAGTAGATTGGGGTTTTGCCACACTGTCGTGGTATGCCACTCGTCTTGTATACTTTGCGTCTTCAAATATTTTACGGTAACAAATCACAATCAACTAGGAATAGATAGGTATATTTACGAATATGCCATGAACTTATGGCTTCAACTATGCTTTGATGCTAGGCAAAGACGCGCCCCGGAATCGACCAGCCTACTAGTAAAAATCGGTAAAAGTCTTCTAAAAATCAATTTTTAATAAAATGATTAACAAGATATTAATAGAAGAGCTACATGGTGGAATATCACATATTCGAATAAAAAATAGAGAGGGGGTTCAGTTCGTTGATAGACAGTCCTAGGAACGGCATCTACGTCTTGAAGAGGGATGATTCCGCGTAGAAGACACTGACTTCGCGTTGTTTTAGGACCCTACAAAGGGAGCGGGTAGAAGAGCTCTCGTGTGCAGTCGCCATCAGGATCGAGGATAATCTCCATGGACGGCCTAATGTTAGCCACCAAAATTTCGTCAACTGCGGTCCGCAGGGATCGAACCAGCTCCACACCTCGTAAAACTCCGCTCTACTCATTTCGGTTCCGTTGGAGACATATCTAATCTATGAGATAATTTCTATGCAGTTCCTTGTCAAGTTACACCGTACAAGCTGAATTAGATTGTTAGTAATTAGATTAGAAAACATAATTAATTCATAATCGCGCTAAAATGAAATTTAAAATTATTCAATGCGGCTATTGAACCATTACAAATGCAGTGTACTATTTAATTTTACTCGACAGAAAATTTTAATTTATTTCTAATTATCTGATATCACTCTACTCGTCATTTAGCTTTCTTAGACTGCTATTGTGATTTAACTTTTACCATTGAATATTATTCCTATTTTCCCGCAAGGGCTAGCTTTGAGCAAAGCTAGTGGGGATTAACGCTCCCCCGGGTTCCCCAGTTCCCCGTGCCTAACAACAACGCTCGAAAGCGTGCACGGTTAACACATACTAACTTACAGATCCTCAGAAAATTCTCGTCTTGAAGAGGGATGATTCCACGTAGAAGACACTGACTTCGCTTTGTTTTAGGACCCTAAAAAGGGAGCGGGTAGAAGAGCTCTCGTGTGCAGTCGCCATCAGGATCGAGGATATTCTCCATGGACGGCCTAATGTTAGCCACCAAAATTTCGTCAACTGCGGTCCGCAGGGATCGAACCAGCTCCACACCTCGTAAAACTCCGCTCTACTCATTTGGGTTCCGTTGGAGACATATCTAATCTATGAGATAATTTCTATGCAGTTCCTTGTCAAGTTACACCGTACAAGCTGAATTAGATTGTTAGTAATTAGATTAGAAAACATAATTAATTCATAATCGCGCTAAAATGAAATTTAAAATTATTCAATGCGGCTATTGAACCATTACAAAT